AGTCAAAGGCTTGAAAGCAATTTGAACCATGCCAATATGCAAAAATTTATACTGAAATTTATATAATTCAATATCACGCTTATTTAATAAAACGAATAGTTTGTTTCGACGAGTTTACCGCCAAGGATTTTTCAGTTGTTTTTATCAACTGTTTATTAGAGATTTTATCAAACCAACCATAGTACAACAACAACAACAACATACCCAGTGAAATCCCACTAAGTGGGGTCTAGGGAGGGTAGAATGTACGCAGACCTTACCACTACCTCGTGGAGGTAGAGAGGCTGTTTCCGGAGGACCCTCAACTTAAGTACATCAAATCCAAGTAAAAGAAGAGGAAACAGTATATAAAACATAACATCCAATAAGAAAAAACCAACCATAGTCATAAATAGTTTTTATATTCACTTTCAGAATAGTCCATTTGTTTAACAAATCAATGTTTTGAGGTATATCGACCTCTTCTAACCGAGTACTTTTAATATCTTCTTGTTCCATAAAAGAGAGAATATATTTATGCCGAAATTCTTCACATCAATTATATATATACCATGAAAGTTCCTAAGTTCTGATACCAAAATACATCAATATAAACTATGATGAAATCCAAAAAAGGATTAAAAATATCATTCATAATCTTTTGAAATTTCGAGGGAGCATTTTTTAAACCAAAGAGCATTACATTCCATTCGTATTGTCCAAACAGAACATTAAATGCCGTCTATAAGAATGGTCTTTAAATATTTGGATTTGCCAATAACCAGATTTTAAATCAAATTTTGAAAAGATATTAGCATCATATAATCTTGTTAATAAATCCCTTTTGTTTGGAATAGGATACCTAATTCATTTTAAAAATTTATTCAAAGGTTTATAATTTATTACTAACCTAGGAACACCTCGTTCTTTTTCTGCTGCGTTATTAACATAAAATGCAGTACAAGACCAGGGTGACTTGGAAGGTTTTATTAAACCCTTTTGCAATAAATTATCAATTTCTTTTTTGCAGAATTCGACCAATTCGGTATTTATCTGGCAAGGACGAGATTTGGTAGGAATATTTTCCTCAGAGAAATTATCTTCATATGGAAGAGTTACAATATGCTTTTTCCGATTCCAAAAAGCACTAGGATGATCAGCACAAATATCAATGGCCATTTGTATTATGAATGATATTTTTAATCCTTATTTGGATTTCATCATAGTTTATATTGATGATATTTTGGTATATTCAAAGACTCTTGAAATGCATATTAAGCATCTAGACATTTTTTAAGAAAATAGTTATTCAAAATGGTTTGGTCATATCTAAACCTAAAATTAGTCTTTTTCAAACAGAAGTTAGATTTTTGGGTCATTTGATTTGTCAAGGAAAAATGACTCCTATTCAGCGATCTATTGAATTCGCATCAAAATTCCCTGATATTATTATAGCTAGGACGCAATTGCAGCGGTTTCTGGGAAGTTTAAATTACATTTCCCCCTTCTACAAGAATTTATCTCGAGATTTAGCTTTGTTATACGACAGGCTAAATTTTTTTTATAAGAAGCCTTGGACTAATAGTCTCACAGATCTTGTAAAGACTATTAAAGAAAGAGTTAAATCTTTGCCTTGTTTAACCCTTGCTAATCCTGCTTGGCCAAAGATCGTTGAGACAGATGCATCCAATATGGGTTATGGTGGAATATTAAAACAGATTAACCCGCATGATAAAAAATGAATACCTTATTCGATTTCATTCAGGAAAATGGAGCGATGCTCAGAAAAAATATGCAACAGTAGCTCATGAAATGTTAACTGTCGTTAAATGTGTTTTAAAATTTCAGGATGATCTTTACAATCAAAAATGAGTTTAATCTTTTTCTGTATTTTAGTAGATTTCAAAGTATCGAATAAATTCATACTAAATATCTCAAGTTGTAAATAATCAACATGTTTTTGTTTCATTTCAATTAAAACATTAATATCTCGAGAAATAGGCTCAGTGATAAAAGTATAACTAATATCTTGATTTTTATAAGTAGCAGAAAATCCCTTGGCATTTATATGGGTAAAAGGGTAAATTGCATTTATAAATGGAGTTCCTAGAATAATAGGAGGGTAAAATTGATTTTTTACCAAGAAAAAGAAGTGAGGAATACAAACTTTATTCTGGCAAATACGAGTATTAGATAATTTATACTTTATATCTAAAGCATGACCGGATGCAGATTTTACCATATGAGTTGTTTTCTCAAAATATTTAGTAGGTACTAGACCTTCTTGAATGCAGCTCATATCAGCGCCACTATCAATCATAGCTATATTAATTATAGAAAAAGCATTATCAATTAATATAGTACATTTAACATACCATTTATGAGCTGTAACAATTTGCATCATTCCTAAAAACATATTTTGTTTAGGATCAAGAGGAAGATTATTTTCTTCAACAGTAGATTCATCAACCTTATTTTTCCCTTTGCTATTAGCAGACTCGATCTGAGTAAGACGATGATCACAAATAATATGATTTTGTTTAAGAAATTTAATTTCTTCCTTTAAATGTTCAATTTCTCCTTTTAAATCATCAAAAGAGGAATCCCGAACTACCATAGTTTGTTTCGATGAAAGTCTATTATGAACTTCAGACAAAGAATAAGGAGCAGAATAATTAAACTCATCTTTAACCTTTTTTTCATTAGAAATACTAGGTGATGAACTAGCTTTACCAGCAACTAATTGAATAATTTTTTCACGAAGAGTATTATCAGTAACTTCTTTCAGAAGTTCTATAACATTATCAGCAGTGATAGTAAACATGTTCATATCCTCGAATTGAGATTGTAGCTTGTAGAATTCATCATTTTCGCAATGACAAATATCACCATGACATTTGCAAGCATCATTCGAATCTTGTTGAACCTTGCTAGAAGACTCAGGTTGATCATCCTTTGTTGCATAACTTGCTTCAGAATCATCATAATCTGATTCGGAACCAGAAGTATATAAAAAACTATAAATCTTTTCCTGAATATCTTCATCAAGTTCCAAAGTCTTAAGCTTTTCAAGCTTACAATTTGGAGCTATATGCCCAAATTTTCCACATTTATAACATTTGATCTTATCAAGATCTCTCTTTGACCTATTCTTGATAAATCTATTAGATTTATGATGAGCCTTACACTCTTCTCTTTCTTCTCTAGTCCTTATCCTAGATTTTCTTCTTTTTCGATGAGACCTATGAGGTTCAGATTTAGAAGTTTCTCGGTTAGAACCTTTGGATGTATCCGGTAATCCAAACTGAGTACAAAAATCTCCCAATTGAGATTTTTCTCTAAGCTTGTCCATCTTAAGCTGTCTCGAGAGTTTTAACTCATCGCACAAATTTATGCCTTCTTGAGTACAAGCTCCAATAAGCTTTCCATAAGTATAATTATTATAAGGAATAATTCTTTGCGGATCTCTCAGAGTCTTTTTTACTCTCTCCGCGAATAAGGGAGGTAAACCATCGATAAACTTGGCTTTCCAGAATTCTAAACCATTTTCGGGAAGTTTCATTACCCAACTTAAATAAGTTATCTTTATACCATCTTAAACTCACCTAAAATGTCTACATCTAAGACCATTTAGTAAAGATCTAATGGTTTCATATTGATTGGTAAATCTACCACTAAAATGCTCTAAGATGGTAGAATAAGATAATTGCTCACTAAATAAATTTAAAAAATGGAAAGGTGTAACTCTCCAAAAACAAATTCTAATATCCATTTATGTTTATTACGTTTCATGATGAACCTATGATTAAAGTTGACATTAAAAAAATATTGCACTAGCTAAAAAAGATATTTCCCCCCCTATTTTCTTATTTATTTATTATTTTATAAGAGTAAAAGTCACTATTATTATCATTTATTGTCCAAATTTTTCATATTCTTTATTGAAAATCAAAATTCATCCACATATTGATATATGAAGTCATTGATATTTGCTTTTAACTTCTTCATCTTTATGTAGTGTTTGGATTACATAGTTTATTCAGTTTCTAGACAATTGATATTTGAGCTCTCTTGTATATTTATTATTTCTAATTTTTAATGTAATTTTTTTTACCAAATATTAATTTTAATGCCTTTCATATGAAAGTTTTGTGTAGATATATAACAAAAGGTTTAGGCTATTATTTTATCAATTAAAAAAAATTGATATGCTCATATTTTAAAGTAATAATTGTGAAAATTTTAAATTATAAGCAAGAAAAATTACATGAACTCTAAATTTATATAGTTAAATAAAATTATAAATGTAAATAGTATTATATAAAGGAAATTATTAGTGAAATAACATAAATAATTTAAAACACCCAAAAATGTGATAGCAACGTATATTAAATTGGCGCATTATGAAATATGTCTTTGTATTGTTTCAAGGAAAAATTATAATTCTTTTCTTATTTTTCTTGAAACTAATTTAATTCTATTATTTTTTCTTTTTGATTTTCTAATATTGCAATTTCTTAATTTTTTTATATCATAGAAAAATATGACCGCGCGAAGCTTGGTTTTGTTAACTAGTTTTTAAATAATACAAGAATATACTTGGTCCATCTCCGTTTGTATTTTTATTTAAAATTTAAATACAGTGGAACCGTGTAAATTACAACTGAGGCCACTCCAATCGTAACCGCTCCCGTAGGCAAAGCAAATAAGCAAACAGCAATCAATCTGAGATAATCTCATATCGTGCAAAAATGGCAGAGGCAGACGGCGTAGGAGCTTTCTTGCATAATCTGGGAAACCTAGACAGCGGCCTGTTTTACTATCAGATGGACAACATTCGCAGCTCGCATATGGTTAAAATTGGCCGGCTTGATCCAGCCGAGGTTATTAGAACCCTTAAACCTACTCTCAAACGCTATGATGGGAAGGGGTAAACTTTCTCTCCCTCTATTATTGTGTATCAATATTGGACTCTGATGTATACGTTCTTCTTCTCTAATTCGTATTTACTCCTAATTCCCAATAGTTATGACCTAATTCGTGACATTAGGGTTTTGTTTGAATTGGCTACATAAGGAAATTAGCTTTATGTTCCAAATCAAATTGTTCTCTTCATGGTTTGCTGGACATTTGTACATAGTTTGTTCGGCATCCTTCCTGTTAGCAGCCAGCAGGTAAGCTAACTTGAATCTAATATGCAGGGTTCCTTTTCAAGGTCTGAACGTGGGTAATGCGAAAAATTTGAGCTATGATGTCTTGGAGAAGATCACTAATAAATTCTGTAGCGAGAATTTCATCCAGGAAGTTAGACATGGCAGATTGTTCCGGGGGTTTATAGATGCTGGTCAAGAGGGGCAGCGGGAGGTCACTGTTAAAACATGGGATTTTGTCTTTCCTGGAGTCCACAGCTATGATACTTATCCACGAAAATTCCGTGTGAGTAAATACTATATTTTATTGATTGACTCCGTCATGTTGTGTCATGTCACTAATTTTGTGACTTTGCAACAGGATGAAATTATATTACTTGAAAGGTCAGAAATTAAGTCACATCCTTTCTTGGTGGAGTTGTTTGGTTTTTGTTTTGAGAAGAAGCTGGCCGTAGTTTATGATCTGAAGTTCAACACACCCTTGTGCGAATTACTTACTTCTGGTACTGGCTTACTTGAGCTTCTTGAACATGGAGTCTGAAGAATTTGTTGTTTCTTGCATTTGATAACACTCTATTTTACACGCTTAGCTGAATTTGGGTGGAAGGAGCGAATGAAGGTGGCAACTGATTATGCACTGCTCCTGAAAACATTAAGCAGGGAACAATTTGATTTAAGCTGTAATGGCTCTGAAGATATTATTATCATTGATAAGGTGTGAAATTCTATTCCGTGTCTTTGGGTGTCTTGAGACTATCTCCTACATGTCTAATTAGTTTAATTTACTATGCAGGAATATAACATTAAATTGGTGGACTTTAACCTCTATGCATTTCCGCAGACACTTGGGATTCGCTATTCTGCAACTACCTCAGGTATCTGTGCATCTTTATTACTCCATAACTTATACCTTTCTCAAAAAATAAATAAAATTACTCCATAACTTGTATTATTGCTCCTATTATCTCCCAGAGGTTAGATGTGCTAGTAATTCAGATCATTAGTTTGTTTTTCATGTTTCTATCTATATGTTTTTCATGAAAGTTTCATATATAGCTGCTCACGTTATGTGGGTTTTGGGCGGCGTGCATGACTACTTTAATGTAGCATTTTAAAACCGGTAGTGTGTTTGAAATCTCAGCAGTGTAGCATTTTTTTTAATATGAATTAGGTTCTACCTATGAGACTTTTTAGTAGCAACTTCTGTTTAGTAATAACTTAGTATTGTATTGATAAGTAATAACTTAGTATTTCACATTAAATTCTCTCTGGATGAAAAAAAAAGCTTCTCTTATCGAGATTTTTGCCCATATATTTCACGCATTTACTGCTGTCTTGCTATTTATTCAATTTTTTGACTTCTAATTATCGTAGTTGACACCTACTATATATCAATTATAAGCTAGATGTTTTGTCCAATGATATTCCTCTGTAAAACATGCCGATGTCTGTGAAGCATAAATGGGTTTTCGGGACCCTTCATTTTCTTTGAGTTCTTTAAAAGCTTGTGGTGGGTGGAAGACCATCCAGATGTACCCTAAGGAAGGAACCTGTTCTTATTTGTCTCCTTTTAATCCTTCTTGATACAATTCCAGACCCACACTAGTATCTATTTCTTCAACTTGTTCAGTTCATCATTTGAAAAGCTAAGTAACAAAATCCCATGAGAAGTTCATCTTCAGCCGTAGCTTTTACTTGAGCTTTTCCTACATCAAGAAGTTTTGGTGGTTAATATTAATGTAGTTAGGTGACAACCAGATGCTTTTAGGCAGCTTTCTACTGTGTAGATTAAATTTAGTTTTATTTGATTTTTACATATGATTATTTACAAACAAAAAAATGCAATTAAAATTTGGGGGTAGTGAAATGGTCAAAGAAACATATTAGTTATAGTTCTATATTCTCTCAAGGATGTTGAGAGTTGGAATTACTTGGTGAAGGTTCCATTTTTGACAGAGGTGAGAACTGTGATCAGGGAAGGATTGAAAAATGGGATTAGGTTCTGGTTAAAAAGTACAATTATGGATTTGCAGTGCTCTTAATCCTCCCCCTTGCTCGTAGTATTCTAAAGGTCGAAGTGGTTCTCTGCTATTGAATGTGAGATTAGTAAAGTGATCAAGTTTTTCTTGATAAGGTTAACTTGTACAGAACCATCAAACATGTGCTAAGGGAAAAGCTTACATTCACAAAATAGGATTACGGGGGATCCTATGTACAACTACTAACTAACAAATTGTCAAAGAAATCTACAAAACTGCTATCTCCCCTATTCGATCCGGTTTACACCAAAAATAAAAAAAGATTGAGGCAGTTCATCTAAATTTTGTGGATGGGGTTGCTTTTGTTCTCAAAATGTCTGAGGTATATGCTGGAATCCTCTGCCACTTCCTCTGCCCCTCTTCTTCCAATACTCTTTTAGTTCTTCAAATTTTCCAAAGTTGTTTGTTGGGATTGCCCAATTCACCCCTAGCATACAAAGGAACATGTGCCATGCATTTGTAGTTGTCTCACAATGCAGGAAAAGATGCCATTGTTTTCAGCTTCTTGTCCACACAATAGACATATTGAGCAAATTTGAGGGCCTCTTCTTTGTAGTTTCTCATGAGTTAAACAAGCCCTTCTAACTACCAACCACACCAGACAAGCTATTTTGTAGGAATTTTAATCTTCTAGATAAATTTCCACCTCCATACCATTGTCACATAATTTTTGCTGGTCATATTTCAGTGGATTGATTTTACTGAGAAGGATCCTTTACTGGAAAGGCTCCAAAACTAGTTTGTCTGGTACATCAATAATGCCTTCAAAGGAGTTCAAACACTGCAACAATGTAATGACTCTATCTACTTCCCAATCATTCAAAGTTCTTTTGAAATTCAGCTCCCACTCATTCTCCATCCAGATGCTTGTTTATTTTTTATTTTTTTTAACTTGGTAACTTTGTATTATGTCACAAAACTTTACCCGTGTACTGTAACCTTATATACAAGTGTACTCCTGATTTCACTTCTCTACGTCTAAGTTGAGTCTAACACATCAATAATAGAGACATTGTCATTAGAGTATAACTGATTACACCAAAAGACAAAAAATAAAATGCAGTTTAATTCAACTTTCTACACATTGTTCTCTATGCTCTCAAAACATCTTGAATTCCTTTCTTTCCAAACTGCCCACCAGATAGCCCCCGGGATAACTCTCCATCTACCTTTGTCCTTAGCATGTACACCTGCTTCTTCCCAGCATAGTAATGCCTCAGCCACCTTCCTAGGCATTGTCCAGGAAATGCCTTTGAGGCTTAAAAATATTCTCCACAGATGATGGGTGTACTTGCAATGTAAAAATAGATGGTTAACAGTCTTAGATGTTTCACCACATCGGAAACACCTGGAACACAAGGTTCTCCCCCTCTTCATAACATTATTCTGTGTAAGGATTGCTTCCTTAGCTATTGACCAGACAAAAAAGGAGACTTTGTGAGGTGTTCTGCTCTTCCATATTTGCTTCCAAGGCCAACTTGAGCACTGTTGATCTGTCTAATCCATCAACTTGTAGGATTTGTTGACTTTGAACACTCCCTTGTCATCTCCTGTCCACCACAATTTATCCCTTCCTGTCTGTAGTCCAGTGAAAGTGTCTACAGTGTTTGAAAATTCAGCAACTCTCACTATTTCCCAATCATTAAGGTTTCTTCTGAAAGTGAAATTCCATCCTTGTGGTGACCATAGATATGCTATAGTGCTTTGTTGAAACATGATTAGGTTGTAGATGTCTGGAAAGAGATCTTCCATGTTGCCTTTCTCATGCCAAATGTCCTTCCAAAATCTGGTCTTACTCCCAGCCATTACTTTTGTCTTTGAGTTACTTTTCACTTCATTCCACAAGCTTCTGATGGACCTACAGAGGCTAACCCCATAAGGAGTGGTTACTTCTTTAGTTATCCAATTGCCCTCTTCTTCATATTTGGCTCCATTACTTTCCTCCATAGCATCTGGTTGTTGTTTGCATACTTCCACAACCACTTCATACTAAGAGCTTTGCTTTGCAATTTCGGATTCTTTATTCCTGGACCTCCATTTTCCTTGCTTGTCATGACTTCCTCTCATTTAACCAAATGAAAACTATTATTTTCTTTGTTGCCTTGCCACAAAAAATTCCTCCTGATACGATCCAACCTCTTAATGACCCCTGGTGGGATAGGAAACAAGGACATCACATAGGTTGGCAAAGCATCAAGTACTGAGTTAATAAGGGTCAGTCTACCCCACTTAGATAAGTACTGAGACTTCCACTTGGCCAATTTCTTCTCACACTTCTCAATCACACTATTCCGTATGTCTATGGACTTGGATTTGACCCCCAAAGGCATTCCCAAGTATATAGTAGGCGGAACTCCTATTTCACCACCCAGAATTGATGCTAAACAACTCTTGTTGTTAACTTCATTTATAGGATACATCATACTCTGCCTCCAATTGATATGCAATCCAGAAATACCTTCACATAAGACCAGAATCACTCTTAGATACTTCAATTGTTCCTCCTCAGCATCACAGAAAATCAAGGTATCATCTTCATAGTGCAAGTGTGTGACTTCTAGTCTCTCAGTAACTTCTCTGGCCACATCAAAACCCCTTAACCACCCTCTCAAGTTAGCAGCTTTTATCATGTTGTTTAAACCCTCCATATTGATCAGGAACAAAAAAGGTGACAAGGGATTCCCTTGTCTGAGACCTCTTTGGGTTTGAAAGAAGCTTGCAGGGTTACCATTGATGAGTACTGAGAATCTAACAGTTGATATGCAAAACTTTATCCAGTTCAACCATTTCTGCCCAAAACCCATCAGATTCAACATCTTCATTAAGTATTTCCAGGTAACACGTTCATTATCTGCAATCAAAACTGCATCCATTATCTGTCTCCCTTTAACAAAAGCCATTTGTTGTGAGTCTACCAACTTGTCCACCACCCTTTTCAACCTCTCAGTCAGAACTTTGGAGATAAGTTTGTAGATGCTACCAATTAGACTTATTGGCCTGAATTCCCGCAACTCCTTGGCACCTTTCTTTTTGGGTATAAGAGCTATAAAAGTTGCATTAAAACTCTTCTCAAGAACTTCATGTTCATAGAAGTTTTGAAAGGTGTCCATGATGTCTTGCTTTACCACATCCCAACATTTAATAAAAAACCCCATAGTAAAACCATCTTGACCTGCTGCTTTGTCAACTGCACACAACTTCAAACATCTCAGCACTTCACTTTCCTCAAAGTTGCTTTGTAGAGCTTGATTATTTTCTTCTGTTAGGACAGGACATTGCACATTTATGTACTCAGGTCTCCATTGAGATGATTCCTTATACAACCTTTTATAATATTCAACAATTTCCCCTTTAATTCTGCTTGGCTCTTTATTCAACTCTCCATGTATCATAAGTTGATCAATGTTGTTGTATCTCCTATGTGCATTTGCTATCTTGTGAAAGAATTTAGTATTCTTATCACCTTTCTTCAGCCATAGAGCCCTTGATTTTTGTCTCCCGGAGATTTCCTTCTTTTTGATCAACTCTTCATATTTCAACATCAGTTCAGATTTTTTGGCAGACTCCTCATTAGTAAGGATTCTGTCTTCCCTCTCAGCTTCTAGATGCCAACTGTTCAAGCAATTTCTTCCTCTGTGTACCCAAATTTCCTTCTTCCCCATTCCTCCATTCTTTAAGTTTAGTCTTCAGAGCTTTTAGTTTGCAAGCCAATCTATAATCAGTTTTTTTGTGAAGTTGAAAGAAGACCACCATTCTCTGGCTCTGTCAATGAAACCCTCAGATTCTAACCACCAATTTTTGAATTTGAAGTAACTTTTGTTCCTTTCCCAAGACCC